TGCGGAGCAGAATAAAGATGGTGAGGAGAACGGTAAACCTAAAGGACCTTCCACTCTTTCAAAGCTAACGGCAGAAGAAGCTGAGCACCGGGCTCTTCAAGCGGCAGTGCTTCAGGAATGGCACATGCTGTGTAAAGATAGAAGCATCAAGATCAGTTGACATTGTCATCCTGTTTTTTGGCCCGATGAAACAAAGAGCTGATTATGGTTTGTTTTTCTAGTGTATCATGGTTTTGTTTTGCATTAGGTTGGTGTTGAAAGCTGATTACAGTGCCATTTTCTTTTTGAGTTCTATATCTTTTTCTTCCTTGGGGCATTCCCTTGTACATCTTGTACCGGCTTTGTCTGTTATTCAGTATCAGAGATCAATTTTTAAACACTAAACAAAAGATTTTCATGCATGTTTGAATCACTTCCACTCTGGCATTGGCTCGTAGCATTCAACACATTTTGTATATAAAAATTGCGATACTAACAATGCAGCCTCTCCCTGTCCTTTATGTCTTTCTATGTGCATGAAATTTTTCAACGCAAAAAATGGCACTTAAATATGAAAAATACTTGGGCCTCGTGGTGAATTTGGTTGTTCAAACTGTTCCATTGCTCAACCAAATGAATCGGCGTTAAGCACTCTTGTTCTTAATTTTCATGGGGGAAAAGAGTGAGAAAAGACAGCAAGGGAAAGCAGAATCTATTTAAGTAGCTTGCCAAAGCTTGCTCTTCCATCATATTGTACCCTAATCCCACTTTAATAAGAACACATCCACAGATTAGGTGAGCAAAACCACATAAGAAAATTTGCCACCTCTTTGAACAACTTAAGAGCTAATAGAAGAATAAATTTGTAGGCCTAGCATCTTTCTACCACTTCTACTCCAGATGCTGGGAGTAACAACCACTCACATGTTATACCTCTGAGGAACAGTGTCAAAGTCATCAAAGTCAAGCCTTTGTCGCTCTCTGCCCGCCTGAACATAGAAAGGCATTGTCTAGTTACCACTCAATGGTTCATAAACATTCTTGGCTAAAATCTTTTGACGAATGGAAATGGCAAGCTCACCTTTGCTAGATACAATGGATCACATGACATAAGTTCATCCATAGAAGTTAGCTTCTTTGAGAGGGTCATCAACCTGCAACGGAATACAAAAAAAAAAAAAAACCTTTAATAATGCTTTTATTCATAATGAAGCCGAGCCAATTTTTAAAATATAAGGGGCCAGATAAATAATCACCAGTGTTCTGCAACATGTCCCCATGATTGTTGACATCATAAATTGTAACTCTTTTTTGAAGCACTATTGCAATTGATAACACTTATAATAAAGTATTGCAATATTGGAAAACACAGCATGTATGAACAAGTATAGTCATAAACAATACAAAATTCTCTATTAAAATAAAACAGGACGGTGGTGTCTATTCCATAGAGTGTACCTTTGGATTGATGAGTCAATACGCTCAATCATGTCACAGGTCTTATATTGCTCAGGATCCTCTAGGAATCTAACCATCCCATCCTTCTGGTTGATCGTTGCATAGATCTCACCATCTTGAATCTAAAAGTTGACATTAAAATGTCAACAATGCAAATGTGAAACAGATAATATAATTGCAGTCTTAATTAACTGAAACAGAATCCAAACTTACCATTTGTAGGACATGCATTTCCGCTTCCTTAGGGCTATTCAGTTGCACTGTGCTAGCTATGTCATGAAGGGAGAGAGTTAAATACGTCTGGGTCAACCTCTGGATATTTCGCTTATACATAGATGAGATAACCTGCTTCACCAATCCTAGATTGTTGTCCTGGTAAGAGAACAAAGCTTCTTTCAGCTGGTCAAACATATAAGGCACAAGAGTAGGGCTAAAATTTGATACAGCACTCACACTTTCAAATTTCTCCTCGTTTGCCTGTACATATGTCTCTAAGTCTGCAACTTTCCCATTGTTATAACTATTTGCCAGTTCGACATATGGCTACTCAAGGGACAATAAGCAGTTAATTATTAAACACAACAAAAAATAACTGATGAAGTAAAAATGGTTCATTCTTTATGTAGGTACAAGGCTATAAGTGGTGTTTTTGTTTTAAGTTCAAAATCATTACCTGACATAAGTTCTTCAAATTTCTCTGAGCTACTGAAGCAGCATACTTAGGGAGACTGGTAGAAAACTGTAACCAAGAGAATGGAAAACCATGGGGAAAATCACCGTTTAGAAATGAAGAAGAGCCAAGACGAACTCACATGTAAAAATTTTGTCTAAATGGTGAAACTATTCACCTTTCAAAATCACAGCTTCCAAATTGAAAATCAATTTTCCATACATTCATAATTCATAATACAATGTAAGTTAGAAGTGCATAACATACCTGTCCATGGTGAATAAGAGAGACCAATATGTATTTTTTGTAAGCCTCAACAGCTATAGCATTGATGGTAGACATAGGAGCAGTCACAACCTAGACAATTACCGTAAACCAAACAAAAAATTAGGATAATAGTAAGTCATATCACCATTTTTTTAGTAGCTGACCAATAATGAACAGACAGAGCTGGAAAGGAACAACATACATTGTGTAGAAGTTCCAATGCTTTCTGAAATCGCTTTTGTCCAACGCAAATCATTCCCCTGTCATGATGCCAAATGTGAAACCCAATCAGTGATTCCCCGCGATGATGATAAACCAGTGAAATAGTCAAATCAAGGAGAATAACGTAGCATTCAAGATTTAATTAAATCAATTATTAAAGTGTGACATCTTTCTCCTTCAGTAGATAATATGATTATGCTACTCGATTCATGCAAAAACAGAAATAAAATTTCTTAATGAAATAAGAAAATGTTAGATGTAACATGCACCTCTAGAAAGAACCTAATTTTGTTAGAGATTACTAGTCTAAATGGAAAAAATATGAGCTCCTAAGAACTAAGCATCTCAAATGCACATTATAGTAAGCAAATTGAAAGAATAGCTTGAGAGGCAACCCACCCATAATAGCAATAGAGAAAAAGGTCCCTCGGCTGATCAACCTCAAAAATATCTTCCTCTAGAATGGAAAGACCAGTTTTGTAGCACTTTGCCAGCAGACAAAGCAAAAGAAACTCCGGATGTAAAGCAGTCAAATGTTCCGTGGAAGACTGAAGCTTACGAATAGCAGTCAGCATTGGAGCCACACCACGCAAGGGCTCCTCAAGCAACAGAACTTGGTCCTTGAACCTCTTACAAACAGATATAACTGCCAATTAAATTAAAATCAACATCAACAATTATTGACAACCCAACAAGCAAAAACTTTGCCACTGTCAGTAATAATTCGATACAAAGTAAAGAGTAGTACACTTATCAGGCGCCAACCGAATTTGATCAGCAACACATGAACTGATCAATCTGGCAATGATTAACGCAAATGTACTAGCTTGTTCTTTTGTAACCGGACCAGCAGTGCATGCCTCTCTGTTGAATTATTAAGAAAACTCACCATTAAAACTCATAATTCTTATTTTTCTAAGAAATTACAAGGTCTATATTAGTTAATCAAAATTCCAGATTTTATATTTAACGAAGAAGTTAAAGAGAAACTAATTAGACCAAAAAAATAAAACGAAGGGTGGGGATGTCACCAAAGAACCCCAAGATTCAATTTCCTCCACTTTCTCTTCTGTTCTCGGCAACCGAACATCAGATTCTAAACATACCCAGATCACCCGCCCATAAAAAAATATAAACTTTCTCGAAGCTTTACATAGAAAGATCGATTCTTTATCATTTTAATCAAAGACCCAAACTGAAAAGGAACTCACATGAAATAGAGGTAACCGAGAGAGTGCTTGGAAGGGTCGAGTTGGTCGAGAAAAGGCAACAACCGAGTGGACTCGGCATGGAGCGATTCATCAGCTTGTTTTAGCAAATTTTGCAGCACTGAAACATCGGAGGCAGTGCTTGATAGCCCCTGGATTTGAGTCACTAAACCTTCCACTGAGTTCATCCCTTCTCTCGCAACTGAGTTTTCCGATCGAACCGACTCAGGTACCAATCAAAAACCAAAAGCTTATTTGCGTTTTCCCGTTCAAGTAGATATGTATATATTAGTCCTCTCTCGGTTAAATGATTTTCTTTTAATATTTAAATTTTATTTTATATTAAAATTAGAAAGAAAAATAATTTTTAATGTTTACCAAAATGAAAAATAAAATAAAATAAAATTCAATTTGGAAGAAAATAAAGAATATTAACCAAAAAAATTGGCTTGAGTGAGCCAACTTGATGTAATGGGGTAATTTTAACCCTATTGGATTGTTATTTTTATTATTTTAATCATTTATATTTTTTCTAAAAAACATTTTTAACTATTGGATTATCCTATTTCTTTATTTTTACTTTTTACTTAATTTATATAAAATAAAAAGTAAATAAATAAATGGAAACTTATTACATTTTATTTGATAAGCTTCTAAGCAGTATTACCCCAAAAAAGAAATTAAAATAAAAAAGGCTGAAAATTGAAACCATTTTATGGAATTTAAAATTAAAAAATGTAACTTGATTGTTGGTCAGCTAAGTGGCCAAGTAAAGATGGTAAATCTTGGATTATACTAATAGCTAAAAATAAACTCTTTGGTCTATAATTTTTTTATAATTTTCGTGCTTTTTTTTTTATAAAAATACCTAAATTCATGTATTTTATACAATATCTTTAAATTGTTTGTGTTTTTTTTAAAAAAAAAAAACTTTTTTGAAATTAGTTATTGAAATTTGAAAATAGAAATGAGTTCGAGTAATTAAGGAGTATTATTTATCGGATTGGATTATAATTTTATTATTAAAGTCAAATATTTTAATTGGGATATGAGTAAATTTGAAAATAAAAAAAATTCAAAATAAAACTTATTCACTTTTTAGTGGGCCTTGGTAGATTGCCAGGCCATTTAATTTGGGCCTAGATTCGGACCTCGGAACAGTAAGGGCACAGCCCAGTTCTTCTATTTGCATTTTGCTTCTGTGTTCTTCGAAGCACAGAGAGAACGAAGAATCAGAGAAGAGAGAAGCAGTGAAGCAAAAGGAGAGCTCTGAAAAGCAGTCGAGAATGGCGGATTACCATTTCGTTTACAAAGATGTAGAAGGGGCTTCGACTCAATGGGACGATATCCAAAGAAAGCTTGGGAATTTACCGCCAAAGCCACCAGCGTTCAAACCTGATCCTTTCGAACCTGCACCCGACCCGGATTCAGCCCCGAAGGACAAGTCTTGGATCGATGAAAAGACTGAGGAAGAACTTGAAGACCTCGAAGATGATCTCGACGATGATCGATTCCTTGAAGAATACAGGTTTAATTTAATTTTTCTCGAATTAATTGGATTTTTTCAGATTAAATAAGTGGATTAAGATATTACTGTTTTTTTGATTATATGGTTCGGGGATGATTGTTTTTTTCTTGAATTAGAAATATGGTTTTGGTTCAGTTAAGTTCTAGAAGTTGTATAGCTAGTAAAATTTGGTGACCTTAAGGATTAATTTCAGGTTAATTGTTATTTGTTCTTGATTTTGTACCAAATTCATGATTATAAAAGGTTGAACTTTTGCCTGTGACTGGTATTACTTGTCTTTTCAAATATTTATTGACATCTATGTTTCGGCCTTTTAATTGGAAAATGGTGTGGTTTTAATAGAAAGAAGAGGCTAGCTGAGATGAGGGAAGCAGTTAAGATTTCAAAGTATGGATCAGTGATACCGATTTCAGGATCCGATTTCGTGCGTGAAGTTTCACAAGCTCCTCAGGATGTCTGGGTGGTTGTCATTCTCTACAAAGAAGGGTATTTACATTTGAAAAAATTGCTTTCATTTCAAGCAAATATACTAGTTATTCAACATGTAACAAAGTCGTTCCCTTTTGTGTTCAGTAACATCGGCATCATGTAATCTTTACACGTATAACATAGTAACAACTATTTCTTATTCATTCTGAGTTTCACTTTTCAGTTATCGATTGGTATTTGGTGTTTTCTGCTTCACATTTGATGTGAATTATCTTATGGGTTTTAAATATTGTATTTTTCATTTTTATTTATTTTTTATAACATTTAATCTAATAAAAAATTATGCCGTTTTCCATTTCGTTGTACTATTTTATATGGATGTTGATGAAATTTGATAGGGATAGTGGTTGATGTAGTGATAACTATGACTTGTGAACCATGAAATTTGTAAATGCTGATGCTCATAGAGGAAAAGGTGTGGATGCTGTGCGGTTAACTGCTAGAGGTTTTACAGTTCCTTGTATTGATTAATTGTTGCTTTATTGGTATCTCTTATTAGATTCCCAGAGTGTGGGCTGCTTTTGCGGTGTTTGGAAGAATTGGCAGTTAAATACCCAGCGACAAAGTTTGTCAAGATAATATCTACCGATTGCATTCCTAACTACCCAGATCGTAACCTTCCCACTCTCTTGGTATATAACAATGGAGCAGTGAAAGCGAATTATGTGGGCTTGCATAGTTTTGGCAGGAGATGCACGCCTGAAGGTCTGCTATATATGAATCTTGTCTCATCTTTTTTCTTTTTTTTTTTCTCATTTTCAAATATATTTGATTTGGGGCAGTAGGGGAAGTATGAAGACGCTACTTGGCAATCTTGTGTTGTAGTCTTGGATGTAAAATAAAATACAAGTATTTTGGGTGCACACTAAGATCCTTGAGGTGGGAGATGTTTTCATACATTCTGTTGTCTTGTTTTGCTTTCAATGGTGTTGTTGACCTACTGCACCAACGTTTACATGCGCTTTTTTTAATCGAAATTTATTAGATGAATGGCTTTATCATATTTTCGTTCTCTCTTAAAATATAGGTGTGGCCTTAGTCCTCTGCCAATCAGATCCTGTACTAAATGATGGCCAAAGTGGAAGCGATCCATCAAGAAAAGCTGTTCTTGAAGATGTTCAAAGGAGGTTCATAGAGAAAGTTGTTACGGAGCATGAAAATCATGATGACAATGGTTCATCAAGTGATTAGAAGTTTGGTAAATTCTTCTGGTTTCTTTTGGTTAGAAACAGAAGCATTACCATTGACAGACAAACTGCAGTTCATGCTCTCTTCCTACTGCTTTTTGTTTTTTTTGAAGTTTCTGTTCATCACCTGCTCAACAAAACATTCTAATTTTGATGTTTGTCCATGTGTTATAATTCTCCACTCTAGTTTGAATCCGTTCATGATATTTTTGTTTTGCCTTTGAGGTTTTAGTAATTGTTATCTCTATTGTTTAGCCTTTTCTTGATGTCTTGTTGTGAGGCTATCTTAAATGGAGCAAGGTGAGATGCATCACCGTCTAGAAATTCTTCATGATCTCTCTTAAAGCGGGAAAAGAAAATTAGTTTGGTTTAAGTGTGTGCATTCGGTTGGTTTGGTCTGAAAATTCCATGGAGATTATATATTAAAGGGAATTTCGTATGGTCCTTTTGCAATTGATGCAAACAAGGTAGGAAAAGTTGAAACATCTTTATCTAACTGGGGATTCAATCCTCCAGTTTGATGCTGATACATTTAATCAGAAACCAGCAAAGAATTCTGCTATGGATGTTAAGAATCTGTCTTTCCTTTTTAGTTGTGTGCTTCTAAGATTCAACCTCAGCATGGCCGGCCTCCTAAAATGCTATGATACCGGGAACTTCACCACGAGTGGTACATATGGCAAGAACCTTGATCTATTCCTATCTTCTCTCCTAGCTAATGTATCAAGAAATGGTGGTTTCTACCGTGCCACCATTGGCCAAGGCTCCAACATAGTTCATGGCTTAGCTCTTTGCAGAGGAGATACTGCGTCTGAAGCTTGTTCTAACTGCGTCAATTTAAGAGTCAGAGAAATCAAAGAAGGCTGTCCCAACCAGACAGAAGCACTTTTATTTTTGGAAGGGCAGTTGTTTGTCTGGTACGCTATGCAAAACCGCTCCATCTTTGAAACACTGGAGCTAAAGCCTTCACAAGCAGGCTCCTATACGGGAAACATTTTGGATGTCGCATGGAATGTAACACAATTTTATCAGATATGGGATAATTTGATGGATGGCTTGGTGGAAAGTGCTTCCAATGGCACATCCAGTCTCAAGTTTGCAACCGGAATAGCAAATGTGGAATTAGAAAAGATATAAGCACTAATGCAGTGCACCCCAGATCTATCTCAGAAAGATTGCAAAGCGTGCTTAAATCAAGCAGTTGATCAGTATCAAAGATGTGGCCATGGGTACCAAGGTGGTTATGTCCTCACACCAAACTGTCATTTTCAATGGGATTCATATTCCTTCTTTAATTCATCAGATGATACTCTAAATTTAAATTCTCCACTGCCACCTCCACCTCCACATATTAGTCCTCTACTTTCAGCTACAAATAACAGTACAAATAGAGGAGGTGAGTACTTATCTCCTTAGAAATGAGCAATGACATGAGAAAGGATGCAAAACAAAATCATCTCTGTTACAATTGACAAATTTCAGGCCACATCAGAGAATTATTTATATTCGGATTTCTGGCTTATGCAGATAATGGAGGCCATGAATCCCAAGCTGTTGTAATCATTGTTGTTCCAATCATTATTTTAGTGGCAATATTGGCACTTGCTTGTATTCTTCTTCGAAAAAGGAAGAACAGAAAGCAGGAGAATAGAAGTAAAGTCAGTTGTCATTAATTGTTTAACTCTTGTTTGTTGTCACCTAGGATAACTCAAGGCTGGACTTGTACGACTAACAAACTTCTCCATCTTAGCAGATAATTGCTGGTCTTGTACTAATTTTTCTCCAGCAAATTATGATGTAGCTATGTAGCCAGAAAGTCAAATGGCATAAAGGTTGAAAGGGTATTTCGTTTGTTAACTCACTTTCTGGGTGAAGGTGCAGATAATAGTAATAGTTTGGAATCACTGCAATTCAACTTCAGTGCAATAAAAGCATCAACAGATAATTTCTCTGAGAATAACAAACTTGGACAAGTTGGATTTGGTTCTGTTTATGAGGTAATTAGAGATTGTGTGAAGCATTCAATTTAATGGCCTCTCCAATCCTTATTTATAAGTTTCTGCCAAATTCATGCCTCGACCATTTCCTATTCAGTATGGTTGCAATTCATTGCCCTCAAGGCCTGCTTTGGTAGACTCCACCATGGAACCAATCCAACTCACAGTAAATAAGGCTTCGATTTCTGAGTTAGATCCTAGATGAAATTTGAAGGTGACGACTATATCATGTTTTTCATTTTTTTTTTCCCTTTCCATTCCGTTAATTTTACTTGTCATATCCTAAAATCGAGATATAACATGATCATATATTATTTTGAAATAATCTCGAAATAATACAAAACTTGTTTATCATTCATGTAAAAGTCTCCAATTAAAATCATATTTATAATTCTCTTAAATAATATTAACATCTATAAACTATTACAACTTATAAAAAGTTTTTGAAACAATAAATTAAATAAGATAAAAACTCAAGTATCAATTATACATAGTGAGATTTTCAACATAATTAGTAATATTTTAATGCTAACGTAACTTCTCAAGATTTTATAATTCTCAAAATTCTAAAACTTTGATCTCTAGTCATTTGCTAAATGTAAATAAATGAATAAGTAATTATAACTCATTAAACATAGCCACATACATCTTATAGAATCAAACATCATTTCATTATACACAAACGATCATATATATCGTGTAAAATCATCCACAAATATCAATTAATTCATAAATTATGTTGTTAAAATAGTTTCTTTTTAAAGGTATGTTGTTACGATAGTTAAAGAATTATTGTAATAACAATGGATGATCTAATAAGTTCATAAATCATTGACTACGGCATATCATTCTTCAAATATTGTATCAAAAGATTCATAAATCAATCTCACCTTTTTTCTTTTGCCTTTTCTCTCTTACCTTCTACCCAAGAACAAGTTTCTTTACACCATTACTAACCATTTATTAGAAGAGCCCACTACTTCTGTCACGTCCTAAAACCGAGTCATGATACGACGATATTACCTTAAGACTAAGTCCTAAAGTAACACGAAGCCTATCCTTTTCTCATTCTTATAATAATCCACAATTGAAGTCATAATAATAATAATTCTGTTCTAACATATTTGCATAATTAATGATTAAAATCCGACTAAAGCCTACAAGAAAATAAATAAACATCTAAAAACTTAAATGTCCATTATACATAATATGCGTTTCAAAATAGTTAATAAAGTCTTAACACTATGACAGACTTCTCAAATTATTCTCTTAGGTCTTATGATCTTACAACTCTTATCTCTAATCACCTTTAAAATATAATAAAGGAATGAGCAAACCACAACGTAGCTACATACACCTTACCGGATCGAGCATCGTTTTCCATATATCATATAGTTCATTCAAGAGCATTTCAATAAATCATACTTTCAAAATGTTAAACAAATTATTATGTCCAAAATAAGGAACTTCATAAGTTTATAAATCATTGACCATCAAATATCATTAAAGCAAATCATAGATTCAATCTTTCAAACTCATAAAGTTTTATCATCTTAGCTACAGTCACCATTAAATTCCGTGACAAAGGTTGTACCAACTAATCATTCTCATGATCATTACTAACTGTTATATCTTGTTAGCAGGACTATGTGCTAACTATTATATCCCGTTAGTAGGATTGTAGAACTAGTTCTAATGTCGATTATCCCACTTCTCAGGGATCAATTTGTAGCTCTTAAAATATTTTTTAAAAATGATCAAATATTTCATTTCATTTATAAATTGACATTCATCATAAGAATCAACCAAAACATTCATAAAATAATATTTGTCATATATATAAATCAAATCATTCGTAAATCCATTTTTCATCATATGAGTAAATCAAATAATTCATAAATCATTGTTAATCATATTATTAAGTTCAAAGCAAAAAATAACCATATGCTTGAACTTATTTTTATATGGTAAAGATAATAAAATAAAATATTAGATTCTTTCAAGAGGTATACATATGCGATAGTTTTGAAACAAGCAAAATGTGTGAGGATATACTTACCTTCCTGCATTCTAACAAACTCATTTCCTTCCAAAATAATCAAAAACCTAGTAACAATCATTTAAACATATTAGAAACAATATAACTCTCAAAAATCTATATATCACCTAAAACTATATAAAATAACCCAAACTCTTTTAAATCATAAATCTCTAAATCACTCAAATATTTTTCTTCGATCTAAAAGAGAATTTTTACTCACCTTGTGATGATAGATCCAGCAATAGCCTTGATTATTTATTCTTCAAGTTGATCTTGAAAATTCCCAAATCTTACACAAAAGTATACTTATGAAATTTTCTTCTTAGCTTTAGGTTTTCTTCACTAATTAAAATGGCTACCTACATTTAGATAATGTGTTTATATTAATCCTAATTGTATTTTAATAAACTTCAACATAAGTAAATAATTTAGACCCAATTATTTATAAGGCCTATTTTTTACATTTTGAATATGTTAAAACTTCAGTCCAAATATTATCTGAGCTGAGGTATTACAACTTTAATGGTCGGCTGATGAGCTTCAATATCTATTATCCATTACCTACAATAACAATGTTTTATGAACTATATATATATATAGAGAGAGAGAGAAGTAGGGTTTTTTGGATAAAGGTAGATTCCACTCTTAACATGCTCTTTCTGTAAAAGTATTTTTTTTTTCCCACTTGCCACAATATTCAAAATTTCAAAGTCTACTCGAGTCTTTCTCTGAAGGTAGATAGTTTTATCAATGGATTAATTGGTATGGTTTTTTTCGCAAATGTTGGCTGTGTCAGTCAACTGTGTGTCTTGACTTGTTCGTGGTCCACCTTGTCTTGTTATGCTTAATGCACGTTCCAGTTCACATGTTCCTTGGTTCTTTGTCAAGTATTTAATGATGTAGTAGTTCAGTGGAAATGGTCGGGAAGAAACCTAGTAAAAAGTTTCATATCATTTGTCTGTTTTGTTTGTACACACTACTTTTTCTGTCCTTCGTCTTTTGGCTTTGTTCATACCAAAGCCGAAGAAGAAAAAAGGAATTCTGTACATTATGAGGCAGAGAGGTCACTTCCCTTTTCCCAAGATTTGAGTTTGGAGATTATATATTAAAGGGAATTTTGTGTGGGTTTGATGCTGATATATGTAACCAGAAACTAGCGAAGAATTCTGCTATGGATGTTAAGAATCTGTCTTTCCTTTTTAGTTGCGTGCTTCTAGGCATCAATCTCAGCACGGCCGGCCTCCTAAAATGTTATGATACCGGGAACTTCACCACGAATAGTACATATGGGAAGAACCTTGATCTATTCCTCTCTTCTCTCGCAGCTAATGTATCAAGAAATGGTGGTTTCTACCGAACCACCATTGGCCAAGGCTCCAACATAGTTCACGGCTTAGCTCTTTGCAGAGGAGATACTTCGTCTGAAGCTTGTTCTAACTGTGTCAAGTTAAGAGTCAGAGAAATCAAAGAGAGCTGTCCCAACCAGACAGAAGCACTTTTATGGGAAGGGGAAGTTGTTTGTCTGGTACGCTATGCAAACCGCTCTATTTTCGAAACACTGGAGCTAGAGCCCTTACAAGCAGGCTACAATACAGGAAACATTTTGCGTGTCATATGGAAATGGAATGTGACACAATTTTATCAGATATGGGACAATTTGATGGATGGCTTGGTGGAAAGAGCTTCCAATGGCACATCCAGCCTCAAGTTTGCAACCGGAATAGCAAATGTGGAATCAGAAAAGATATACGCATTAACGCAGTGCACCCCAGATATATCTCGGAAAGATTGCAAAGCGTGCTTAAATCAAACAGTTGATCAGTATCAAAGATGTTGCCTTGGGCAGCAAGGTGGTTATGTCCTCACACCAAACTGTCATTTTCGATGGGATTTATATTCCTTCTTTGATTCTTCAGACGATACTCTAAATCTAAATCCTCCACCTCCACATATTAGTCCTCCACTTTCAGCTACAAATAACAGTAAAAATACAGGAGGTGAGTTCTTATCTCCTTAGAAATGAGCAATGACATGAGAAAGGATGCAAAACGAAGTCATCTCTATTACAATTCACAAATTTCAGGACATATCAGAGAATTATTTATATTCGCATTGCTGGCTTATGCAGATAATGGAGGCCATGAATCCCAAGCTGTTGTAATCATTGTTGTTCCAATCATTATTTTAGTAGCAATATTGGCACTTGCTTGTATTCTTCTTCGAAAAATGAAGAACAGAAAGCAGGAGAATAAAAGTAAGTCAATTGTCATTAATTGTTTAACTCTTGTTTGTTGTCGCCTAGGATAACTCAAGGCTGGACTTGTACGACTAACAAACTTTTCCATCTTAGCAGATAATTGCTTGTCTTGCACTTAATTTTTCTCTAGCAAATTATGATGTAGCTATGTAATCGGAAAGTCAAATGGCATAAAGGTTGAAAGGGCATTTCATTTGTTAACTCACTTTCTTGGTGTAGGTGCAGATAATAGTAATAGTTTGGAATCACTGCAATTCAAATTCAGTGCAATAAAAGTATCAACAGATAATTTCTCTGAGAATAACAAACTTGGACAAGGTGGATTTGGTTCTGTTTATAAGGTAATTAGAGATTGAGTGAAGTATTCGATTTGATGGCCTCTCCAATTCTCATATACCAGAAAAACTTCATTCTTCTGTCAAGATATGTTAAAACAAGTGTTACTAATATCTTAATCTTTTCTAATTTCTCGTTTTGAAAAATACTGTTTCAGGGTAGGCTGTGTGATGGACAAGTTATAGCGGTGAAGAGATTGTCTGACAATTCTGTGCAAGGAGATTTGGAATTTAAGAATGAAGTCCTGTTAATGGCAAAGCTTCAGCACAGGAATTTGGTTAGGCTGCTAGGCTTTTCCTTCGAAGGAAAAGAAAGGCTTCTTATTTATGAGTTTCTTCCAAATTCAAGCCTCGACCATTTCTTATTCAGTATGGTTGCCATCCATTTCTGTTTAAATAGTTCTATTTTGGGATAATTATGTTGGCAGAATGCACTCAATGCCTATGAGTAACTGCATTTGTAATGCATGTGTTATAATGCCATGAATTTCTAGATCCAGTCAGGCGCTTACAACTAGATTGGGACAAGAGACACAAAATCATAACAGGAATAGCTCGAGGGATACGCTACCTTCATGAAGATTCTCGACATCGAATTGTTCATCGCGATTTAAAAGCTGCAAACATTTTGTTAGATGATTATATGAACCCTAAAATAGCAGATTTTGGATTGGCTAGGTTGTTTTCAGTGGATCAAACACATGATGCTACAAGCAAACCTGTTGGAACCTTGTAAGTAGAAGAGTAATCTTACATTCATGTGTAGCTCAAGTATAATTGTAATTGAGAATGATTTATCTGTTAATTGCATGTAGTGGATATATGCCTCCAGAATACATCAGATACGGAACATATTCAGTTAAATCTGATGTTTATAGCTTCGGTGTGCTAGTTTTGGAAATCATCATTGGTGAAAAGATAAGCTGTTTCCTCAGTGAGGAAGGAGAGGATCTGCTAACCTATGTAAGTGGAAATAATGCTTATATATAGCAGTATTTCCCTCATGCATGAAATTAATGAGGCAAAACCATTATAGTGCTGACACATTGTTGGATATTTGCAGGCATGGCAGAGTTGGAAAAGAGGAACAGAAATGAATATGATAGATCCGGCTTTGAAGGATGGTCCAAGGATAGAAATGATGAGATGTATCCATGTTGGGTTGCTATGCGTTCAAGCAATTGATGCTGACAGACCAACCATGACCTCTGTCATGGTAATGCTTAGCAGCTACTCCATGTCTCTTCCATTGCCCTCGAGACCTGCCTTCGTAGACTCCACCATGGAACCACTCCAACTCACAGTCAATGAGGCTTCCATTTCTGAGTTAGATCCTAGATGAAATTTGACTCCATTCCACTAATTCTACTAAGGGCACGGTCCTTGATTCTTAAAGGGAAAAATATATGATAGTGTCGAAATTAAGGTTTGTCCAGTATCAACTTCAACATCGGAAAGAAACAATCTGTATTTCAAATTTGAACAGGTTTCAAGTGATTTATTTGATTGTATCTTATGTTGCATAGTCACTAACAGAAAAACTGACTACTTTTTCACTTGAAAATTGTCACACCAATTCAAGAGATAAAACCAGCCGGTACATGAAAAAACAGCTTTTAGTTGGTGAATATAGGACATTAACATATGAAGAGGAGTTCTGCTCTGGATTGGACTCCCTGCAATACCAAATGACAACTTGACTTCAATTTACAAGCTAGAGAACTGCTAGACGAGGCTATATCTTTTGTGTTTTTATGGTGATCTGCAAAATTTGATAGAACTTTACATTTTTGAATTGTTTGAAGGGGAAAACTCAAACTTCCTATTGTCTGTATAAAGTTTCATTTCATTTGTTTGTTTTGTCTGTGGTCCACGTCCTATCGTCTGTTTCTTTTCATCTTCTTTTGGCGTTGTTTATACCAAGTGGAAGAAACAAGGGAATTCTGTACATTTTGAGACAGAAAGCAGAAAGCCAGAAACATCTGTAACTGGGAGTCAAAGCCTCCAATTTGATGGTAATCACATAATCAGAAACAAGCAAAGAACACAGCTATGCGTGTTAAAAATCTGGTTTATCTTTTCTGTCATGTGCTTCTAGGTATCAATCTTTGCACGGTCAGCCTCCTAGAAATGGGATAGTTCAATGGATGGCTTGGTGAAAGCAGCTTGCATGGGCACTTCCAGGCTTAGTTTGCAACGGGAATAGCAGATGTACCCTTTCAAGGATTACCAACTGGGATATTTACATTATATCACTCATATTTAAAAAACATGGTTATATTTATATCCATGATGAATACAAGGTACTTACCAAAAAAGCCTGCTCTCTAATATATTTACAGAGTGATTTCTGTTTTAGCTTTTTTCATTCTCTCTCACTCTCTCTCCCCCACCCTCAACACCCACCACCCCCCCCAATCCCTTCTCTTCTACTGCTGCTATCGTCTCAACATGTCACTCAGTATCACTCACAGCAGAAGCACAGCAGTCTCTAGGTCTTCACTTAGTAGTTGGATAGTCTTCTTGTGACATTGTCCTGAGCTGTTGGCACTTTTTCATGAGTACTCAGCACCCTGTTCTTGCTCTTCAGCCTTCTTATGAGCTCGAATCAAGGCTCTTCTTGCAGGGCCCTCATTTCTCGTACTTTTTGGGGAGGCATCACAAATGGCTCAAGTGGCCGATCACCAAAGGGGTGCTCACTACCAGCCAATATCCACAATTTTCAATCCCTATCCTACAATTGGTAGCAACAATATAAGACAATCCAGCTTTGAAATTCTCAGGGCCAATTAAAGAATGAAAAGAGAAATATGGATGGATTTCCTCAACGAACACAGAATTGGCTAAACACAACAGAACACAAGCAGACCAATGGGGTTGTTTTCCTTCTGGGAAGGGAATTGGAAAGGGAAAGGTGAACAAAGTGCAGAAAATCAAGCAGATCAAATGAGCGTAGCAAACACACAAGAAGTTTCAGTAGGCCTAAACACTCACATCACACAATTTGTTCCTTGGAAGCATGCGCAGGACTGCTTTGCGAATAACTTCTGTCGAGTCCTTAGCCATCTGATCTTTTAAACTTCTTTCTTTGAGGTTGCCCACGTATCTAAATCAGTAAGATTCACCATTAGAAAGAAGCATAAATAAACAGTTACAGTGGTTCGGTATCAAGAACAAACCATTTAAGAATTATGAGTAGGGAAATTAGGAATGCACATGATAACAAAATCAAGTTAGTTCCTTCCTCTATTGACCAAATATGAAAAAGAGGGCCTATTTTGATTTCTGTAACACCTAATATAAGCATAAGTTCTCTTAACATCTAAATGGACATTGGTTCAAGCAGGAACTATCCAAGATTTATGTTTAGTGGGGGGAAAGGGACATTGGATAATTTATGTTCAGGCAGGAACTATCCAAGATTTTATATTATATTCCGTAATATAAATGAACTAAAATTTTTAGCTATCTCCAAAATATAAACAAAGGGACATTAGGATCTCAGGGGGCAATTGCCTCCATTGCCCCCACTCTGGGTTCAAGTTTTAATGAAGGACCAAGCATTCAACAGAAGTAGAGTTGCAATGGAGACTCACTTGACTAAAATTTAACAAAAAACTCTAAGCTCTCAACTGATAGGAAAACAGAACTTTTCCAATAGACAAACAACTTCAGACCATAAAAAGTAAAAGCTAAAAATGGTAGTGTTAACCCTGTATGCCAGTGATAAAACTTATTTGTAAGTTTTCTTCCTGCAACGCATACATCCTTGGCATTAATAACAAATCACATATCACCATCATCACGATTCGGAGCATATGTTGGCTTGTCCTTGCCTTGAATCACAGTAGAAATTTGAGATGCTAGTCTTCCAAGAACCTATGAATAGAAACAACTTTTTCATTCTTTTTTTTTGCAGACTGAAAGACCCTCAAAAGCATGGGAAAACAGTGTTATTACATCAAAAGTTCAAGCTCAATACAATTAAAAGCATAAAAACAAACTTTGCATTAAGAAGCTAGTATCTTGAGCAAACCATAAAACCCAACTTTCAGATGTTTGAAGGTTAAAGGGGCAACAGAGTTCTGGCCCCAGAAGCTTTAGTTCCAGGACAGAGTTTCTTAAAACAATGGTCTCATCTTTGCAATACAAAAGGGATCTTCTAACTCAAAAAACTATCAAAAGAGAATATGATGAAAAAAGGAATGTCTCCAACCTGACCTTTGGCGTCAAATACTCTCCACCTTAAACCTTCCAACTTGATACGCCTCAGGCCAGCTAGCGCTTTCTGCATTGAATTCCAAAAACAAAACAGTTTAAGACTTAACATTTGAGGGTTTAAGGATGATCATTCAATCAAACCTGGGATTTTCTTCTCACAAAGAAGAAATTGAGAATTTAACCATCAATAGCAACAAGGAATAATCAATCCCCCCCATCCCCAATTGCACACCATCACTGGAACTTATAATATTTTAAATGACAGTTTAAGCAAACTAATAAACTAAATGATTGATTACTTAAGTTAACAATAAAGACCAAACTGAAAAATGAAATGGGTAATTTAAAAAAAAGAAAAATGAAAAAAAAGGTAAAAGGAATTGCCTTTAAGTTGCCATTGAAAGTTGTTGCTGCTTGAGACGCCATTTCTCAAGGAGGGAAACTAAACCCCTTTATAAGAGGAATTTTAGTTGAAAAATTAAAGGGTAAAAATGTTTTTCTCAGAAAATGAAGGACTTGTAACTAAAACCCTGAAGAAATTTTCCACTTTGGGCTTTCAAAATGGGCCCTCAAATTAATTAGAACCAGCCCATGGACAAACCCAGAAAAAGCCCAAAGCTAATCAAAATGGGAGGTTCTAATTAGGGATGTTAACGTGTACTTTGTTACTAGATACCCTGTGTTATTCGATTTGATTATGGAAAATTAAGATATCACATAATTAACTTGAGGTAATAAAACTATCACCTATCACGAGATCAGGTAGGGTTTGGGTATAATGATCTTAAGATATTTATTACTCGAACTAGATTATAGATAATGATTTTTAATATTAAATTTTAATTGTTTATCAAAATAATATTAAATTTTAGTTTTGTATATTATATTTTCACTTATAAAATTCTTATAATTAAGTTAATATTTTCTATAATTAATTAATTGTTCTAAATACGATTTTAAACTTTAACTTTTTTTATGAAGTAACATTAATTTTTTTAATTTAATTTTCTGTAATAATATAAATAAAAAATATTTTAAATTTATTGTAATTAAAAATCTAATGGATACAGATATTTAACAAGTACTATACCTAAGATATTAGTGTCCAGATTCATGTAACGATATAAAATTTTAATTGGGTATTTATAGGGTTCAGGTAACTTATCAAATAATAAGGTAAGGTTCGGGTCAAAGTATCTCAAAAATAGCAGGCACCCTATCTGTAGACAATCTTAATTTTAATATAATCTTTTAATTCTACACATCATGTGATGAGGATATTAAAAAAATTAAATTAAATTTCATTAAATAAATTAGTCTTTTTAATTGTTTTGATATGTATTAGATTAAGCATGTTAAATGAAATGGTCTAATTCTGTTTAATGTCTAGCAGTTTAAAATTAGCAAAAAGTTTGAATAGGTTAGGTTGTAACCAAAAGAACTGATTGACCCACCATGGATCATACTAGAAAGGAGAAATGAAATGCTTGATGGAGTTCTATTATTTGTAAAAGCAAATTGTAAGCAATCAAGCATCATGCCAAATATTTGATGAGGAAAGATGCATATTTTACAGTAGACTTTATTGAGGATTAAGCTGAAAGGATCATTAGTTCATTCTTATAGTATTAAGCTTTGCTGCTTTGTGTCTCAGCTTCCTCTTTCTTCAGGAAATACCTGTGGAAAAGAACCATTGTAAATTAGAAGCATTTCCATGGCAGTTTCTTGGACAGGGAAAGAAAGCACTTGGAGTGAGGTTATCAACTATCATCACCCCAATTCCAAGACTTTAGGATTTTAGATTTAACGAAATAGTGATAACAAAATCACACATTAATTAAATTAGAAATATTTTAAAATCTTAAATAAAATATGAATTTCATCACTTATAATAAATTGGTTTTAGTTTAGATATCTATATAAAAAATTTCAACAATGTATCGCGTTACTCAATTCGTTAGTTCTTCGTAAATTTTTTTATAATTCATGTCATATGATAAGTCTGTTATCTCTACACGAGTATTGAATGGTGATAAAAGAAATCTTATATAATTAAATTAAAGATCTCTTGAACATTTTTATATAAGTAAATGGCTTTAGGCTCTAACAAGATTTATCCATACAGATGATACAAGAAGAAGGCGGCAACTAACTAGTCATCCTTTGCCAGGCGAAAGAGTTTTTATGAATTCGATCCAGGTTGAAACCATAAGCCAAAAGATTAAAACAGAAGCCAATGGAAAATTCCTGTTTAGCTGATTACTTACTCTTGAGCCTTAATCCAACGAGAGAGCTGATACAGCTGCACAGTCTCGTTCGAGGCATGACACACGAGAAGATGGAGGTTGCGTGGCTGAACCATCCATGCAAACCTCATGAACAATGCAGAATAACCGCACATGACTGCAAGATTCGAATTAGCAGCTGTAACTCCGTAATCCAACATGGACAAAGAACAAAAGAAGAGAAGATAGTCGTGTTTTGAGATCAAACATTTGTACAGACCTGCAGTCATGTTGCCAGATATCATTTCCGGGGGTTTCTTTGTATCTAAAAGCGCCTGGTAAAGAAAAACATTCTGGGTTATTGTTATAATTAATCTCGGAGAAATGTCATGTAACAGCAGTGAATTATGTTTAGATTTTCAACAGGATGATTCATCGATTTGACATACTGCAATGGGGATGCTCCAGTTGAAAACAGGTCCCCAGAAATGAGTTGTCTTGGGACCAATAGGACTGTTCCAAAAAACTCTTAAGATTTCCATTCCTCCTCCTGCAAATTGTAAACCTTCCAAGCCAAAATAAGCTTCAGGAATAGGCCAGGAACAAACGAAATAGAGTTACTTTGAAACAGATAGACAAGACGCAAGCTAACAGTATCATAGCCGTATGGTAATCTAATCTTACGAATTTAGCTTATGATCTATGCAACTTCCACAGTTACGTTTACAAATCAGTTGGAAAACTTTTGGTCTTTTATACAAAGTATAGTACTGCTAAATGTGTGGTTTATTTAAATCACCATTATTCATATATCTATCTATCTAACTAATTTTAGTTACCTTTTTGATTTAGTTATCACAGAACAGATAACCATGTTCTTCTCAAAGAATAACCAGGGGAAGAAACTGGGGAAAACGCTCAATTATCTTCAATATAGCTTTCTTGTTTCATGGTTTTGGTTAAAGGGGTTGTTGACATAATCAAATAAAGCATAACGTAGACTCAAATCTTGATCTTGGAAACAAAAGATTAAAACAAGAAAGATTAGACTCCCATGGGAATTGTTGTTCAAGAGTTATTTCTTTATATCATTGAAAAATTCATGAGCATTAATCCTGAGGAAAAAGATTAAAACCAACAAATCTTACCACGATATAACCTGTGCAGCAGTCGATGAACTCGAACTTGGAATGGCTCAAGACACCAGTCAGAAGTATTTGGAGGATCTTAGCAAAGAGGAAAGGATTCAATAGATTCGATATGGCCTTCAGGTCAAAGAACTGTCCAACAAGCAAGCATGCATATCCTACAACAATATTAATTTAGATTCCATCATGCTACTTGCTCTTTATATTTAATCAAAGTAACCAATACCTTCTTGCCGCCGTCCAACACTCTTTCACGTTACGTTCCTTGAGATGGTCCCAAAGCTAGAAATTCTTAAACAAAACTTCTACATACTTGAAAATGACTTCATTTTGTCTTATTCAACGTGCTTCCAAGAATCATTAAAGCTAGAAATTCTTAAACAAAACCGCCTTGTGTCACGGTTAGTGGGGAGTCATTAATCCCACATCAGGAAAGATGTCATGGTTCTAGTGAGGAGCCATGAATCTCATATGATGACATGGTCCCAAAGAACAACCATAAATCTTACATTGGTTGTGTACTAAGGTGAGATTAAGCATTTAAAGGTTCACATCATGTTTAACTTTTGAAGTGCAATTTGTTAGGACAAAATCGTGAGTTCACCAAGTCAAAACAACAGTTGCTATTGGAGAGAGCTCACTTGCTAGAGTGGGGGAAGATGGGGTTGAGCATTGTTAGGGTTTAGAGTGATGGAAGATGTCATGGTCACAAAGGGGACTATAAAGTAAGATTGAGTCATTGTTAGAGTGAGGGAAACCCTTTCAGAGTACGATGTCATTGTCTCAAAAGAGGCTTTAAGAGTAAAATTAAGCATTGTTAGAGTGGGAGAAGATGTCATGGTCCCAAATGGGTCTTTGAGAGTAAGATTGAGCATTGTTAAAGTAGGAAAAGATAAGGGCTCCGAGCTTAAGAAAGATTAAACATTATTAGAGTGGGGAAAAGATGTCATGGTCCCAAAAAAGGTTTTGATAGTAAGATTGAGCATTAATAAAGTAAGGGAAGATGAGAGTTCTATCAATAAGAAAGATTAAACATTGTTAGAGTGGGGGAAAGGAGTCATGGTCCCAAAAAGGGCTCTGAGAATAAGATTGCGCATTGTTAAAGTGGGGCAAAATAGGGGCTTTTAGAGTAAGAAAGATTAAGCATTGTTAGAGTGCGGGAAGATGAGGACTCTAAGAGTAAGAACGATTAAGCGTTGTTAGAGTAGAGGGAAGATATTATGGTCTTAAAAGAGGCTCTAAGAGCAAGATTAAGCATTGATTGTTAAAGTTACGGGAAGACCTCATGGTCTCAAAGGAAGCTCTATGAGTAAGATTGAGCATTGTTAGAGTTAAGGAAAAATGAGAGCTAGATTGAGCATTGTTAGAGTGGAAGAAACCCTTTGAGAGCAAGATTGAGCATTATTGTTAGAATGGAGTAAGATGTCATTGTCCTAAAAAGGGCTTTAAAAGTAAGAAAGATTAAGCATTGTTAAAGTTAGGGGAAAATGTCATGGTCTCAGAGGAGGCTCTAAGAGTAAGATTAAGCATTGTCAGAGTAAAGGAAAAATAAGAGCTAGATTGAGCATTGTTAGAGTCGAGGAAGCCCTTTGAGAGTAAAATTGAGTATCATTGTTAGAGTTAGGGGAAGCTCTTTGAGAGTAAAATTGAGCATTGTTAAAGTAAGGGAGGATGTGTTCGTCACAAAGGAGGCTTTTAGAGTAAAAAAGATTAAGCAAGATTGAGCATTATTAGAGTGAAGGAAAATGGAGGCTTTGAGAGTAAGATTGAGCCATTATTAGAATGAGGGAAATGAGGACTCTGAGAGTAAGAAAGATTAAGCATTTTGTTAGAGTGAGGGAAGCTCTCTAAGAGTAAGATTAAGCATCATTGCTAGAGTTGGGAAAGATGTCATTTTCCCAAAAAGGACTCTAAGAGTAAGAAAGATTAAGTATTGTTAGAGTGGAAGAAGTACTTTAAGAGTAAGATTGGGCATTGTTAAAGTAAGAAAAGAAGTCATGGTCCCAAAAAGGGCTATAAAGGTTAAAAAGATTAAGCATTGTTAGAGTTGGGGGAAAATATAATGGTCCTAGAAGGGGCTCTAAGAGTAAGATTGACTAGAGTGGCGGCAAATAAGACTATGAGAGTAAAATTGAGCATTGTTCAAGTAAGGGAAGATGTCATGGTCCCAAATGGAGCTCTGAAAGTAAGAAAGATTAAGCAAAATTGAGCATTGTTAAAGTGGGGGAAGATGGGGGCTTTGAGAGTAAGATTGAGCCATTATAAGAGTGAGGGAAGATGGGGACTCTAATAGTAAGAAAGATTAAGTATTTTGTTAAAGTGGGAGAAGCCCATTAAGAGTAAGATTGAGCATCATTGTTAGAGTGAGGGAAGATGTCATTGTCTAAAAGAAGACTCTAAAAGTAAGAAAGATTAAGCATTGTTAGAGTGGGGGAAGCCCTTTAAGAGTAAGATTGAGCATTGTTAAAGTAAAGGAAAATGTCATAGTCCCAAAGGGGGCTTTAAGAGTAAGAAAAATTAAACATTGTTAAAGCGAGGGAAGATAAGGGCTCTAAGAGTAAAAAAGATTAAGCATTGTTATAGTTGGAGGAAAATGTCATGATCTCAAAGGGGCTATAAGAGTAAGATTAAGCATTGTTAGAATAGGGAAAGATAAAAACTCTAAGAGTAAGATTGAGCATTGTTAGAATAAAGGAAATTGGGGGTTCTAAAAGTAATATTGAGTCATTATTAAAGTGGAGGAAGATGGGGGCTCTGAGAGTAAGAAAGATTAAGCATTGTTAAAGTGAGGGAAGCCCTCTGAGAGTAAGATTGAGCATAGAATGGGAGAAAATGTTATAGTCCCAAAGGAGGCTTTGAATCTAAAAATGATTAAACATTGTTAAAGTAAGGGAAGATATCATTGTCTCGGATGTGGCTTTAAAAGTAAGATTGAGTATTGTTAGAGTGAAAGAAAATGAGGGCTCTGAGAATAAGATTAAGCATTGTTAGAGTGGGAGAAGATGTCATGGTCCTAAAGAGGGCTCTGAAAGTAACATTAAGCATTGTTAGAATGGGGGTAGATGGGGCTCTGAGAGTAAAGATTGAGTATTGTTAGAGTGGAGAAAAATGTCATGGTCCTAGATAGGGCTCTGAAAGCCAATATCGACTATGTCATATTGATTGTGTACTAGAATGAATTGAGCATTTAAAAATTCATATGAGTCCCTAAGGCTTTCCTTTTGTGGGAACAAAATTGCAATACTAATGGATCAAAACAAACAATATCTTATAATTTGGTATGAATGGTGACACCTTGGTGTATGAAATTGAAGTTGAAATTTATTGCTTAGTTTTTGCTAACCTTATCAAATTTATGAGTAATTTTTTATCATTAAATTGGATGATCGATTGTTTTAAAAGTTTAAGTTATAAAAATAGACTCCATTATCATATATAAGTTTTAAGAATGACCCTTCACATACAAATCGAATGAACTATTATTAAATTTACACATATATTAATTAGATATTGCATAATCTTACGAAGATGGATACAATAAAAAACACTTTTTTTTAAGATTTGGGGGTTGCATGTTTAGTTGGGTGACCAACTTATCTTAAATATCTAAACTAATAGGAAAGCGTCGAGATTCCGGGAGCTCTGTAAAGTTTTGGGACAAGACTGTTGTCAAAAAGCAGTGCCTTGCTTTTAGAACCGCAAAAATTGCTATATGGTTATGGACATCCTTGTTAAATTTCTTATAAACTGCCCTTATTAAGATCCGTTCTGACAGCGACAGGAGACGACATTAATGTAGCGTGATCTCAGGTAAGTCCATGAATGTAGTTTTGTAGATTTGGAGTTGATCGGGCAAATGGTCCCTGCTGTCAGAACAAAAGTCTCAAGGCCGTTCAATAAAGGAATCCCAAAGTGGATTTCTTGTTCTTCCTTCCATAAGCTGCAATAAAGTCCTGACATTTTTCCTCCTTTTTTTTTTTCTCTCTTTTCCTGTGGCAATAAATTCACCCTTGTCTACCTCGGGGATAGTAAATTTTTCACGTTTAAATTCATCGACAAGTGTTGCCATGTCTGTCAGGAACTGGATACAACAAACAGTGGCAGGTTCTTCCTTGGGTCAATCTCAGGGCCTTACATATATGACTGTTTACTGACGATGTCCAATCTTCCCGGAGCTTACTCTCGTAGCAAAAGATGCTTTGAGGACAATCCGTCAGTGGCTTTTTCACCAAAATTCTTAGCTCACTGTCAATTCCAGATTAAAAACTGGAATGGGAAATCGAGACTTGGAGATATCTTTATATGAGAAAGCATTTACAAACTACTCGAGATCAAAATCTTTACAGAGAAATAGTGAGTTCATATTACTTCAAGACGAAGTACTCCTCCTTACGTCTATACAATCATCTAACAATCCACTCCCGGACTCAATCTCTATCTATACTTTTGGCTACCAAAAATAGCCTCCCTGGTTACAAGCTTTATTCCTCTCACCCATAGCTCAGCCATTTCAAACCCACCTTCACACACAAAATGAAACTCTTTGTTCTTGGTAGTCATCACTCGAAATACTCCAGGTTCGTTGGCATCGCCCTTGCTGCGCCTGCTCCTCTCGAAGGCTGGACTTGGTCCTAATTCTGCCTCTCGACATGTCACATTACGTCGACTTGCCTTTCCCCACTGCAGCACTCCAGCAGTCCCCACCATTTTCATGTTTTTCCCATGTGGCTTTCCCTTGCCTCCCCTGGTATGCTTCATTACAGGGGCACCACCAAGAACAAGCTTGCGAGCAAGCTCATCTAGAATCACACGTTCTGCATCATTTTTCAAGCCAGCGGTTTTTCTAGAAAGAGAGAGTGCGGTTTCCCCTTTAGCATTCTGAAAATCACAATTCGCCCCATGAGAGATTAAGAGCTCGCACATGGAACCGTAACCTTCTCTAGCTGCTAACATAAGCGGAGTGTAGCCCTCTCCATCAGGGACATTTACATCATAGCCCCTGCTTTTTAACAATTTAACAGCACCCAAATCTCCATGACGTGCTGCACAATGCAAAGCATAGAAGCCTCCAGCATTGCGGTTGCCCTTTTCAAGTGCAAAATCAAGCATCACCTTCTCAAACAGGTCACGATTCTGGTTCAGTTCAGACAAAGTAATTGCAGTCTCACCAGATTTGTTACACAGCTTAACATCAGCCCCGGCATAAACCAGCAACCGGAATGCTTCAACATGACCCTTTAAGGCAGCAGCCATGACTGCTGAGAAACCATTATCATCCTGATAATCAAGATCAACTTCTCCCCTTTCTATCAGAGCTCTTAGAGCATCAGCATCACCAGCTTGAGCAACAAACATTAGGGGAGAGAAAACTGAAACGTTGCTTGACTTGGGTATCTTTCCAACCTTGATTACGTCTAGCACTGCGTGCTGAAAACCAAGGGACCACTGGTTTGATCCAGCAATTGAAATAGCAGACTGACCAGAGACATTAACTAAGCCAAAGTCAGCACCAGCCCTGGCCAACACTTTAATACATTCTTCATGCCTGTATTTTGCACAAACCATCAAAGCTGTGTCACCAATATGCGTCTTGGAATTTAGATCACAACCAAAATCAATGAGGGATTGAAGGGTTGCTGACAAGCCAAGACGGGCAGCCATGTGTATCGGCCGGAACTCAGTTTTCATGGTTTTAACTGGGGATTCAACATTTGCGCCACAATTCAAGAGCACTTCGACAGCTCCGGCATTGCCACAAAGGATAGCATGGTGGAGGAGGGTTCTTCCATAGTGAGGTGTCTCAAGGGTGAGGTGCTGAAGGAGCATGCGCAAGATGGCACCACTATCTTCAAAATATTCTACAGCACACCAACTGATAGCATAGGGTTCAGCCAGTCCTGCACCCACTCGAAACTCTTCACCTGTAGTCGTGTCCCATGACCATGCTCCCAGACTTACTTTAATATCGGTTGGGGTCCCAGCCTGCTTTATGTTTTTGGACATAATGAACTAAAGTGGTTTACAAGGCAAGATATAATAAACAGAGAAGCATTGCTCAAAGCATGTTACTTATTTTTTAATGCAACTCTTTAAACTCTCTTTGTTGACTTTTCAGGGGAATATATAATGCTATCTTGCTAAAATCAACTGTTTTTAAGGGAAATGAAGTACCACAAACGTTGACCAGATCCAGATGTAATGCAACTATTATTTGAATATGAAAGTGATTTAGATGCTAGTCATAATGAGCATTCAGATTCCAAAATTGTACATCACACATGTATTTCGTGGCGTGAAGCATTTATTTCAGAGTTTTGGAAGATTGTGTAAAACATATAGTACACTAAAAGATTAGAAGGTCACCTGTAGAAGCAAGCGAACAACAGAGACCTGCCTACTAACAACAGCAGCCACAAGTGCTGTGCAGTCAACATTTGTGTGCAAAGAAGGTTTAGACGACCGGAGCAGCTGCCTATGACTTGAACTTACATCAACACCACACTGTAATTGAGCAGAGAGCCATTAGATTATCATGTAAAACCTAACATGAATAACACATATTCAAAATTACATCACAAGCTTAATAGAATGGAGGATCAACTGAATAACACCAGTAGAATTAATTTTTCGTCTTTATGAGTTCATGAATAAATGTGGAAGTTATTATACTGTTGGCAAACTAGTAACAGATTAAAATCATCAAGAACTTATCTAATTGTCAAAAAGCCAAGGTTGGCTAAATCAGCAATAAGGGCATCAATACCAATCACCCAACTTACCATGAGGCCTAACAGAGCATGCAGGCCAACAGCAGGTAAAAGCCAGATTTACATGTCATCTTAATGGTTAAAACTGTTGAACTGCCCCAGTGTTTTGTTTTATTATAGTGGGCTTTCGAGCCTTACTCATGTAAAATTTGAGGCTAAGTGGCGCATGTGATAAAGTATGACGGTTTTACCTTTATGAGGGTGTCCACCACTTCCACAAACCCCCTGCAGCATGCTGTGACGAGAGCATGAACAGCAACATGTGGCCGAATTAAATCAGAGCCCATGAGCAGTTCTGCAAGCCTTGCTTGCCCATGGCAGCTTGCCTCTAGAAGAGCTTCCTCACATGCTGGCTGAGAAGCCCCAGCTTTAAGCAAGATTTCCAGAATCTCAAAGTGGCCCTCCCTCACTGCTACTGTTGTTGCAAAGCCTTTGAAGAGTTTCTGATTCACATCAGCTCCTATGCTCTATCATTTGAAGTGTACCAACTTTAGTGCATAATATAAAGGGCTTTTTGTTTTCTTTTTGACAGTTTAAGTTAGGGTAAAAAGAATTTAAACTTGACACTTATTTTTTGAGCTAATTTTACCATCAGCCTAATACTTTGGCCACGGTATAAAACACAACATGATATCATACTCTGTAAGTTTTCTTTTCTTTCTCCCCTTTTCTTAAAATCTTACACAGGTCAATAAGAAGAAAATATTACCGCTAGCATAGTGACTATTTTGGATTCTTCATCAGGTAACAATATCTCACAGCCCCAAACAGACAAATGGGGAACAACACTGATTGGTAGACAGAGAAGCATGGAACTTTCTCCAAGAAATGCATGAAGATTTCAATCAAAAAAGGATATGGGGGATGCATCATGTAAGTGTACTGTTTTGTACTTCAAACTCAAGCCATGCTCAGTAACAACTCACTATGGGCGCTTGCAGAGCATATTTCCATAGAATAAATGTGCAATTCAATAAATCTTTTCGCTCTTACTTATTTTTGAATGCTATAATATCTATCTTCCAAGGTATATAAAGGAAGACAAAATTTCAAATAACTTGATGCAAAAAAAGCCAGAAACTATAATGGTCTAACGGAACAAGAAAATCTCTAATAGATTTACTTCAGGAAAGAAAAACTATGTTTATGAAGTAAACACAGGAAAAGGACAAAGCAAATCGCACACATATTATTGAACACTAAATATCTTGGACTATATTATACTCTAATATTTTCACTTTAATCAATATAAGAAAAGCATAATTGACAAATCAAACAAGTAACATATAAATGAATGAGGACCGAATCGAAAAACTTGGTCTACAGCAGCCAATATTAACATTGCCAATCCCACTCTTGATTAAAGTCCAGAGACAGGATCGTCTAGTTTGACCAAAACAAAAGCCAAAAATGATTTAATAGCCTACTAAAAGCTGTCTCAACTAAAAAATTAACAGCTCGCCAGAAAATGAAAATATTACATAGACCCTCCCCATAAACAATCAGGTAGACATATTTATTACAAATATTTCTCAAATCAACCATTGCATTTATTATTTCTAAATATATAGGAAAGACATCGGTAGCTCATACATTTACTCATGTATTTAGTTTTTACAGTAAGAAAAGGCAGTAAATTTTGTGCTTCACAGGGGGACGCAAACCAAATATTCATACCAAGGAATAGTATGAAGTACCCAGAGCAGTTTGTTGGTAGAGATTAAAGGCAAATATTAACTACATACGAATGAAAGAGAAACGAAATTTACTACACTGAATTAAAGAAGCTTACTTAACTCTGTACAAATTTTCATTTTCCATTATTATTATATGGTAATTCTTACCTTAGGTAATACCGTAATTAAATTATGGGGACCAGAGCAGGGGAAAGCAATAAAGCGAGCAAAGACACAGTGAATCTTTCAAGATACGAAAAGGTTTTAAGTAGAAAAAGAATATTGATTTTCGAAGATTATGTCCGAGGAACATGTTAGATGTAACCTTAGCTTCATCAATTTTTGAGAAAACCAAAAGGTAGAAAAAAGCGAAAGGATGTAATTATTGATTAAAAAACAGAAAATTACGAGAAATAATAAAATAGCTTAAAATTTAAATAATTTGAGCACTTCGAAAAATTAGAAGATCAGCAAACTTCTCAGTTGAAATTGAAATTTGAATTTGAAAAAAACTCGTTTCGAAGTGAGAATATCTTATCCTCTTACTTTTTCTCAGTAGCCAAACAGAGTATCACAGAGAGTGTATGTGAAACGCTCCAAAATCAACAAATCAACAGGTAAAGCCTTTGGTTTTTACTAAATTTTGGACAATGTCGATAAAAATGAAGACTTCAAGAGCAACGATCTGATTCTCTTGAACTAAAACATTGATTTTCAGTTTCAAGCTTATGATTTCGGAAATTTTCACTTATTCGACAAAAAAAAAGAATAAATTATGGAAATACTTCTTAAAAACAAGTTAAAAATCAGTGCACGCAACTCAAAAATTTAACTCTGATCACTGAAATCCAGAGTTGCGTAAAACGCTTGAGAATCACAAGCAAAACGACAATGGAAATATGAAAAAATCATAAATTTCAAGTAAAAGAAAGAACAAAAAGATTTCAACTTTGATCATCGAAACGACGAAAAAAAATAACAGTAAAACGCGACGTTAATGAAACAGTTTGAATCACAAACCCGGTCAAAACGAAAAAGTAAAAAAACGAAACTTTTGTGTTGCATTACCAGTAGTTTCTTTACGAGAGCGACATTTCCAACATGAACAGCGAGGAAAAGAGCTGTGACGTCAGTTTTAAACTCTTCATACTCGACGCGGACCTCACTCGCCAATTCTTCTCGCAAAACGACTTCGGTCTTCCTCGTTTTCAAGCAGACGGCGCCGACGAAGTTGACGTCGACGAACGGATCGGCTATGCACTCGAGAGCGTACCTCAGATCGCCGGATAACGAAGCTTCGAGCAGACGCTGGGAAACTTCAGCCTCGTAGTCGACGGGAACCACCTGTCTGCTGCCGGAAAACACCATCATTGTTACACTTGGCGGTTTGTTCAAGGTAGCACCAAAAGCCAATGTAACTTCAGGTGAGAGATGGCATACGACGGTTCCAAGGCTCGAGGGAGAAGCTCTAAAGAAAAAGGCGAACAAATATTAAAAAGACAAAACTTGAAAGAAGTGAGCGCCAGAGACTGAAGAGAGGAAGGTGGCTTATTTATTGGAAAGGTTTTTTTAACTTCTTTTTTTTACTGCGGATAAAGATTTAAGCGGATGCTGTGAGGTGGGACCCGGCTTTGTAAATTGTTGGCTTCACACAGAAGACAGCTTCGCTTGATTCGTGGGGAAATATCGGTAATAGTCGTCCGTTTGAGATCTCAAATCAGGACCGTTGATGGCCATTAATTTTGATATCTGGACCATCGTGATTTGCTGTTATTTGTAAAATGGACATGAACATAATAAAATTATGAAAATATCTTAAAATTTTAAATATATTTGATACATTATATGTATATAAAATTTATATATCATCATTTTAATCCTGGAATGATACTCAGTTAAAAAATTTTAAAATAAATATTTCTAAATTACGATTATTTATTTTTTTAAGATTGTTAATGTTTAATTTATCTATTAATGAAATAAGAACATTTGATTTACTGATTACATATAGAATTTATATTAGATAAGATAATATATTAAATATAAATATATTAATTAATTAGTAGGTGTTAAGATATGATTTTCCAATTTAAGATTGTTTCACTTTGGTCAAAAACTAATCGTTTGAACATTTAAGTTTTATTTGGTAAAAAAGGAAATAAAAAGCTTAACAAAATTGAATAACTTTATTTGTTCACAAAAAGGAGTTGGTACCAAACGGACCTATTGAGACCAATAATTATGGTTCAATTAAAATCTCTAACTAATTGATGTTGAGAAAAGGCAGGGGATTTAAACTGGTAATATTTTAATTTGATTTCCTCTTTGATGCTGCTTTGCCTTATTACTTTCTTTTTTCTTCTAAATTCAACGTATTTGCATTATTCGATGTAATACATAATCATTGGATAACTTCAACTGCATTATCTACTAATTCATAAGTTTACGAAACTTCTAAAAAACCATAATTGAAACATAAGCACCTTTTAAGTTAAGTGAGATAAAGCTTTAAAAAAAATAGTTAAAATAAAAGAAATTCACAAACTATTAAGAAAATTTAAAGAAATATTTATTTTTTTATTAGTTCAATAAATTTTATTTTTTTTAATTTTAAATCAAATATATTTTTATAATTAACAATTCACTAATTACCTTTAATTAAAATGACATATATTATTTTATACACAAATAGCATACAAACTTACTATAACATAGAGTGAGATTGTCACGTGACCACATTGAAAGTATGAACAAGTTTGTTGTTGAGCTACTTTCCATGCAATTGTCAAATTTGATTGCAAACGTAATATAAACAAGATACCTAATTTCGATTAAAAAGTTCAATTGCGATGAATTTGTTTTTAATTGTCTCTAATTAATATTGCAATTATTTTTAATTGTAATAGCCGGTATCAAATTGGGTCTTAATTGAACACTTGAACTTCAGTTTAAAATGAATTTTATTTAACTTTTACCTATGTTTCAAAATACAAAATTTCACTAGTAACTAATACAAGGTTTAAGATGCAAACAAGATTAAAAATTTACTCTCATGAAAAGAATTTTGTACTTAAAGTTGTACCAATCATGGACCTCTTTGTTAAGATATATCTCCTAATAGTCATTTGTCACTAAAAAGAAGGGGCTATTGGTTAAGTAGCCATTTTAAAAAAATGTTAACATTTAATATTAGCATTTGTTTCGGTGTACAGAAAATGTCTTAAAATGTTAATTAAGATCTCAATTTAAGTCTCATTATAAATTTGAGTTTAGTCTAGATTTGTTGATTAATTTATATATTTTATTAATTTAATTAATTTTTTATATTATAATTTCATAACAAAAATAACATAGTAAAAGCAAATTCCAAGTCTTAACCCCAAAAAAGACAAAAATCACACAGTATCATGAGTGGGAAAAGGGTAGTCATTGACAAAGTTTGCTAATTGGGTGACAAACAGAAGAAATGCCAGACAATTTTACAGGGACGAGGGTATTCTTAGGAGTCATCATCATGGATGGTGCTGAAAGACTTAAAAGAATCGTATTGGTCATCGGATTCTTTCCACTGAAATTATACCATACCGGTTCTTGTCTTTTCTTTGGATCATTGGCCAGACCAGAACAGCCATGAGCAACAACATGGAGATAGCCAACAAAAAAATTTCGGAAAGAAAGAACAAGCAGTGACCTGCAACATGCCATGCTGCATGCATTCAACACATGGCTGTGGGGTCTTTGTAGTATCACTGTTTTCCTATTTTAATAATTCACTGAGATTCATTGCTATCACCATTATTTTTCTATCTGCTTCTTTGATCCAAATTAGTCAACTATGTCTTGTTCATTTTATTATTGTTAGTATTATTATCATCGTTACCATAAAAATCAATAATTGTATGGATTATAGGTTAAATCAGTTCAAAGTAGCAGAGGGTTTTCAAAAATAAAAATGAACAACTAGAAATAGAGATATTAGCATTAAATGACAGCTCTGGTTGTTTGAACAGGGTATTATGTCCTGAACTTGTAATGTACATTGAGTTATTTTTCCCTTTATAAATAAAATAATATTATAAATTAGTTTTTTTTTAAGCTATATATCTCTTTATTGTCCAACTAATGTGTGACAACTATCTTTAAAAGCTATTGGTATGAGATTGAGGAGAGGTATATAATATTAAAAGTAGCCAAAAACTTTAAAATTAAAAAAGTTTGAAGAAATCAAATAATGATTTGGGGTAGTTACCATTAGGTGAAACACAAAGAAAGTTATGATTGAAAAACAGATTGGACAAAAGTTGATTTAACTCCTACCTCAACCAATAATTCACTAAGAAATCTTGAAAAAATTGAAGTTAAGATCAAAGGTTGTTATTCTATATAACAACTAAACATAATTATGATTTCATGTAAAAGGAAAAAAAAAAAGCAATTGAGATAGAAAAAATTACCCATTTTTCTAAATGCTTTGCATCATTGGCCAAAAGAAGAAAAAAAAAACACTTGCGTTATGAAGTACAGTAAATTTCATGCACCTAAACATTTGATTCATTAGTTGGTGTATGAACTCTCTATCTAAAGAGTATGATTTAAATCTCCCTTCTCCCAATTATAAAAAAAAATATAATAAATTCCATCTACATCCTTTCCTTGCAATCCTTTTTCAAAAATTAATCTAATCTTATGTAGATAAGTTCTATTATTGAAAGAGATTATATTTTTTAAATTTTTTTCTAATTAAATTATCAAAATATTTTGTTAATAAAATTAATGTCACAAAATCATTATCTTCCTTCCAAAAAGTTAATTTAATGAGGTGTGCAACACTACTACTTATAAGTCACCTAGAACCCCCTTATCTATCTATGAGAAAATTTTGAAAACACTTTACTTTTTTTTTCTTGAAAGCAATGGTGCTGCACACTTATCAAGTTAGCGTTTTGGAGAGAAGATAATAGTCCCGTGACAAGTGGTATCAAAATAGATCCAATCTTGACTCTATTCCATGCCAAGTGTCACAGTTAATACCAATCCTTATGAGGTATTGTCTACTTTGGCTCGTTGGCTTTACTATTTTGTCTCACAAAAGTCTAATGACCTTGTATTAGATTATTGAAGAGAGTAATGACCTTGTAACATAAAATTCTAGTTAAAAAAATAATATTGTGTAAAAAAAAGGTAAAATCACTAAGATACACTATATATTTGATAAAATTTAACATTAAAAAAATTACAAGCTTGTAAAATTTAACATTAAAAAAATTACAAGCTTGTAGAAAAGAATAAATACTCTGACAAAAGATCGTAGTACTAGTTGTTGACACAAGGTCAAAGATGTTTGCTGCCATACGATACTTTGCAAGCATACATTTTTTCAAACAGTGAAAAAAGAAGAATAAAGTTTACTGCCAAATTCCAAAAGACTCGGTGGTCAATACAAGTAATCAACAAGCAACCTTGTCTACTTGGCTCACAGCCTTAGTCATATCTCTTTTGACCATCAATTTTTTTTTCTTTTCCTTTTTCTTCGCTTTTATCACTTTAGTCATTAGATCATGTGGCCAAGAGCCACGATGCCCAAATATTCAAAACCCCTGTCCTTTGACTGCGTCCTAACACCTGTGATCTTGACAGGTGTCAGGTTATAATGGCTGTAAATCTGGAGTACTTCCGGATACATCTACATCACCGTGTTGATTTGAGGTAGATGCGGGTCCTTACGACTGAGATTGAGTGAGGGGTCCTCGGATAGTGCTGATATCAGCGTATAGCTGGATGTACTGAATCCTTACTACCGAACAGCATCCCGGGGGATCTTTTTGGTCCCGCTAAGCCGTAGAAGATATTGTGATCTGTACGAGCGAAGCCTTGGGGAGCTTAGCTCCACCGCAACTGCATGGTCAGCAATGAGGTTGTCTCAGCATCCCTTGCCACGTGTTATAGACGGTGGTGGGTCAGTAGCCGGACTTACCACTTGTTTGGTAGCTTAGCTTTGTAAGACATCAATCATCTTACTACTACTGCCTTACCCTTTCAACTTCTTCTTTTATTCTAGTAATATAATTAAAAAATCCATTCAAAATCCAAATTAAAAATAAAATGTTTAATATGCATTAGAAAAGCAATAAAGAAAATTCTATTATATTTCTTCAACAAACAAAAATTAGTTTTAGATGTTTTATATAGAATTATAACTTTAAATTCCTTTTAATATAAGAAATTTAATTTTATAATTTTTTTATTATCATACTTAAAATAGAGTCAACGTAATTTTATCATTACAACTCATACAAAAATTGTTACTTAACTCTTAACCACCCTTGCCATTTAGCTAAGTCAAATTTGATATGCTTCCATGACTGAATAAGGATAAACTAATAATGAGGTTATGTTGGAGCTTTAACATGCAAGTCATCAATGGGAATTAACTTAAGAAATTAACTAAAGAGCACTAATCGAGTGGGCGAAGTTGAAGTCATGACAAATAAAAGTCTCTTTTATAATTTTGTGCAACGTGTTTGATTTTATATTATCAA